CCGCCCCCCCCCCGGGCCCCCCCCCAGCCGGTGGACACATGTCCACTGTGCGTGTGTGGTGTGGTGTGGCCTGTGGGGCTGCTTCCGCGGGTGCAGTCACGTCAGGGCTGGCCACTCCCACGACCTTGGCAGCAAAGCCTGCATGGTGCACGCGAGGTCACCTTCTGTCGGGTGGGGGTACGCCGAGTTGTCCACACTGCTGGCGCTGTGGGACAGGGTCCCATAGCCACTGCCCTTACACGCTCCCATGTCCCCTCCCAGTGCCGCCTCTGGCACCTCCTGTCCCTCCCCTTCTGTGCACTAGCCCCATCGCTTCCAGGCTGCAGGTATGGTGGGACCCCCCAGGCCTGCGGTTGTGCTGATGAGGCGGGCCCTGGCCTCCAGTGACAGCAGGGGTAAGGGCAGTGAGTGCCCTCTGCCTGCCGTGCTGCTCCTGGGATCTGGGCCTCCCCGGGGTCTCCACAACCAGAGGGCAGCCCTGGCACAGCAGCCGCCCTGCTGCAGCCCCACGGTCCCCACTTGGCACTTCCCATGAGCCCGGCACCCTGCCTGCTAGGCACTGCCATTGCACTCTGTGCTTGTCTCCTGTTACTGGGGAAAGAAGGCCCTGCAGCAGGGAAATTTCCAACGTCCCCAGTCCTCGTGTCTAAGCTGCAGAGGGCCTCGGGAAACCAGCATTTCCTGGCCAGTCTGCTGTCCCGCCACGAGGCACACCGAACGGCCTGGCCTAGAGCTCCCCTCCGGAGTGAGTCTGGCAGGCGATGGGGAAGAGAGCCTCTGAGATTGCTTTAACGAGCCAGGAGGACCCAATAGACGCCAGCCTGGGCGGGGGTGAGGCCCTGCATCCGCGGGCTCCCTCTCTGGGCTGTGCTCTCTGCTGGAGAGCAGCTGCTCCTAGAGGCCTCGCAGGGAAGGGCCAGTGCCCGGGGCTGTCCGCCGTCTCCTCCCCGGGGCCCTCCAGGCTCACCGCCAGCTCTCCCCACAGGTCCTCATGTCGGAGCCGGGCAAGCTGAGCCAGAAGGTGAGGGTGTGGCTGCAGGAGTACTGGAACGTCACGGACCTCGTGGCCATCTCCCTGTTCGCGGCCGGCGTGGCCCTCCGCCTGCAGAGCCAGCCCTACATGGGCTACGGCCGCGTGATCTACTGCGTGGACATCATCCTCTGGTACATCCGCGTCCTGGACATCTTCGGGGTCAACAAGTACCTGGGGCCCTACGTGATGATGATCGGGAAGATGGTGAGCCACCTGTGCCCGCCGTTCTGGTCTGGCTGGCCTGCTCCTGGCCAGCTCGCGGCAGGGATGCTGTTTCAGGGCACACGCCCTCCCCTTGCTGGTGACCAAACAGAGCCACTGAGCTAGCGTGGAGGCGCCGGGAGTGTGTGCCGCGTGGGGCACACGGCAGGGTCTCGGAAAAGCTGCACGTGGGCTGGAATGTGTGGCACCAAAATAAACGTGCACTTTAATTTCATCTTCCCGTGAAAGGGCACTGCAAAAACTTCACGAAAAATGCGGTTTAATGCGCTTATTTTGGCGGAGAACATTTTTGAAATTCGTTTGTGCTTTTCCTGCCAAGCGTTTCGTGGCCTTTCTGAGCACTCCTCCCGTGCCAGGCAGTGGCTCCACCGTGTCTTCTCACGTGGCACGCAGAGACCGGGTGACGAGTAGCTACGGCCATTCGTCATCCCTTCTGAGCTATCGTGAGCGAGAACATTTTCCAGTGAGAGAGAACACAGCCCTCCTGGGAACCTCCTCCCCTTCCCGGCGTGGTACAATGGACTCAGGTCCAAACGGGTTTCTCGAAGGTTCACTGGGCATCTGGCCTTGGGACAGGGCCCAGATGTGACATCCTGCGGTGACGCTCATGCCACGGCACGTACATAGCCAACACCCACCAGCCTCCTGGCAGGGCGGACGCCACAGGCAGGGGCCCAGGAGCACCCGTGTGCCCCGCACTGCCTCAGCCCGTGGGCTCTGGCCTGCCATGGGCCTGTGCAGGCCCCTACTAGGGCCACAGTGACTCCCGGGGACGCTGCTGCAGAACCCTGCAGGACGCTGGCTGTAGCAGCAGATGTGAGACCACCAAGCCGCCGGCCTCGCGTGTCTCTGCAACGGCCTATGTCAGGGGGTCCCAGAACGGAAGCTTCTACGTGTGGGACTCTGTGGGCCAGCGCTCTGAGTGTGTGTGTGTGTAAGTGGAGGTGTCTGGTCGGGTCCGTTCCACCAAGGCCCTTGTTCAGGGATGGTCACAATTAGGGGTTCCTTAGGGGCCCTCTCCCCTCCTGAGGGACCCTTCCCCTCTTGAGGGACCCTTTCCCTCCTGAGGGACCCTTTCCCTCCTGAGGGACCCTTCCCCTCCTGAGGGGTCCCTTCCCCTCTGGCGTCCCTGCGCCCCATGTCCCCAGGCTGTAGTGACTGCAGGGCGGAGAGAAGGCAGCGGGTGCGGGTGGTGAGGGTGGATGCTCAGAGTCGCCCTGCCTGGCCCTGTGGGAATGGCCCAGAGAGGACGAGCCGGGCCCAGGCTGAGCTCACGTCCCCCGCGGGTGGCCGGCGTGCTCCCCCGTGTCCCCACAGATGATCGACATGCCCCCCCGCGTCCCCCACAGATGACCGACATGGTCCACCGCGTCCCCCACGGGTGGCCAACGTGCTCCCCCGTGTCCCCACAGATGACCGATGTGCCCCCCTGTGTCCCCCGCGGGTGACCGACGTGCTCCCCTGCGTCCCCCGCGGGTGACTGACGTGCTCCCTCGTGTCCCCCGCGGGTGACCGACGTGCTCCCTCGTGTCCCCCGTGGGTGACTGACGTGCTCCCCTGCGTCCCCACATATGACCGACGTGCCCCCTCACGTCCCCCACAGATGACCGACATGGTCCACTGCGTCCCCTGCGGGTGGCCAATGTGCTCCCCCATGTCCCCACAGATGACCGACGTGCCCCCCCCCGTCCCCCCCGCGGGTCGCCGGCCTTCCCCCCTCCC